TCCCGTTACCTATTACGTAACTGACTACCTAAGTTTCCTTACTGATATGCATCGTCAATAAAACGTCAATGGGGAGTACGCGATTCTATAGAAATGTACGTTCCACCGACCCGTGGATGTACCACGTGTACCACGATCGTATTTTGAACGTGGCATGTGCGCACATACGAGCGACGCACACGCGTGTGTACGAGCAGTGTCTGTTACATGTACACGCGTATATGCACTTAGTGGTGCACCATCGAGGTACCCATGGTTGGCACGTGCCAACCATCACAATGGATACGACCATCTGCACTCCTTCTTATAGAAAAATCAAAGTCGTAGGGAGCCGGGCGTTTGCCCGATTCCAACTTCCCAATTCCCTTCGTTAGTCCGTTATACGGTTCAAACCGTTCGCTGTCCGCGAAAAGTGGCGGTGTAACTGTAATTCCGTGTTAGATACTCCCGGCGGAGAGTATCAATTCGTCGGTAAAAATTGGATGGAATTTTGGAGATGGAATTTTTTTTTAATTTTGTAATGATTAAGAAGTTTAAAGTATCGTAAAATCCTGACTTTTGTAAAGTCCTATTTTCATTACAAAAGTGGTATTATGGTAAAGATACCTGCGAATCTTCAAAGTAAGTCAAATTACTTTTACGCGTCATAATACCTTTTCACCAGCGTGATAAAAATTGGAATTTTGGAGATGGCATTTTTTCTAATTTTGTAATGATTAAGAAGTTTAAAGCATCGTAAAATCTTAGTCACATATGACTTTTGTAAAGTCATATTTTCATTACAAAAGTGGGATTATGGTAAAGATACCTGCGAATCTTCAAAGTAAGTCAAATTACTTTTACGCGTCATAATATCTTTTCACCAGCGCGATAAAAATTGGCATTTTGGAGATGGACTTTTTTTTACTTTTGTAATGATTAAGAAGTTTAAAGTATCGTAAAAGCCGGACTTTTGTAAAGTCAGATTTTCATTACAAAAGTGGTATTATGGTAAAGATACCTGCGAATCTTCAAAGTAAGTCAAATTACTTTTACGCGTCATAATATCTTTTCACCAGCGCGATAAAAATTGGCATTTTGGAGATGGACTTTTTTTTACTTTTGTAATGATTAAGAAGTTTAAAGTATCGTAAAAGCCGGACTTTTGTAAAGTCAGATTTTCATTACAAAAGTGGTATTATGGTAAAGATACCTGCGAATCTTCAAAGTAAGTCAAATTACTTTTACGCGTCATAATATCTTTTCACCAGCGCGATAAAAATTGGCATTTTGGAGATGGACTTTTTTTTACTTTTGTAATGATTAAGAAGTTTAAAGTATCGTAAAAGCCTAGTCAAATATGACTTTTGTAAAGTCATATTTTCATTACAAAAGTGGTATTATGGTAAAGATACCTGCGAATCTTCAAAGCAAGTCAAATTATTTTTACGCGTCATAATCCGTACCTTTTCACCAACGCCTTTATGACCAAATAATCGTGCCATACGATCGTTACCTGCAATAACTTGTTGTATTTTCTTCTGTCAAAATTGTCTTTAGCAAAATTATCCGGAAACAAATAAATTCGAAAACATAAATTTTCTTTTAAATCCTTCCAACTAGGATGGATGTCTTAAGCTTTTTCGAATTTTTCTTTTATTTTAAAACGTATATTTTAAACTTAACTTAAACGTAAAACTTGTAGGATATTTAAAAGCGAAATATTTAGTGTAGATAAAAGTGTGGCAATAATAAATAAATATTTAACAAATAATTGTACGCGGAGACAGTTAATATTGTCGTTAAACCGGTAAAACCGATTATACGTCACGTGTACATGGATTAAAGAATTGTCTCTGAAGGTGGTGTATAACGTGGCGCGATGACGAATAAGGTGCATGATCAGCCAGCTGTACGCGAGGGGTGCCTCTGCAACCCCCAATATATGGCAAAGTAAGCAGCTGAGCTACCCCCATGGTCGTGCAGTGCGTTACCCGCGTTCGATGCCTTATAACGAATAATCTTCACATTTATGACTACTGGGAGCAAACCGATGGTTCGTTATATTCCCTTGTATTCCCTTACTCCCTTGTTCACCCTCGTCTCATCTCTTCTAAATTTCTTTTTTATTTTTTTTTCGCGAACTAGATAAAGGAAACACACAGAGCATCATTATAAATTCATTTGCATTAAAATGTCAGGCAACACCTGTGACACGATGTCGATGACTTATATATATATATATATATA